TCTCAACAGTAATTTATATCCATATCATGATCTAAACCATCTAAGTACTTCTTGATATTATTTCTTTGTACTCTTTGGCATAGTTTCTTTTCAATATTTCTTTGTACACTTCATTCCTTTGGATTTTTCTACCGATATTCTAAATTTGACCTTGATTCTTATTAGGAAGTGATCCGAGACCGCACTGTTCCCCCTCATGCTCTTTACGTTGTTTATACTTAATCTAATTCGATAGTCTACCATTACGAGATTTATTTGGTTCCTCACCTTTCCACATGGTGATATCCAAATCTGTAGATATTTTTATGCGAGAACATTGTACTACTTATTATTACTTATTTTCATATTTCTAGTAGTTGCAAAAGTTATTAGTTTATTCCTATTATCATTTTTATCGTTATGTAAGCTATCCTTTCCTATTGTTAGTTTGTAAGTTGTTTCTTTCCTTATTTTTGCGTTGAAATCACCTAAAATGAATTTTGTTTTTCCAGTTGGTAGTGCATCACAATCCAGTTCTTCGTAAAAAGCACTTTTTATTTTCTCACTTTTGTCATCCATGGGAGCATAGCAGTTTATTATCAGTATGTTAAACCATTTACCTTTGAGCTCAAAATAGCACATTCTATCATTTATCGGCTCAAATCTTACAATTTTAGGTAGAATATTGTTCTTTGTTACAAAACCCACTCCTCTTTCGTGTTTTCTCCTTCGCTATATAAGATTGTCATATCCTGTGTCTTTAAGCTACCTGATCCATCTTATCTTACTTCTTGAACAGCGGTAATATTCAATTTGTATCGTTCAAGACATGATAAAATTGTCGTCATACTTCCACGCCTATACATCGAGCGCACATTCCAGGTTCCAATTAGTATATTCATAAGTTCTTTTGTCCGTGGTATTGATTATTGTTATTCCGAAATTATTGATATTTTATGTATGGAGTGATCAGCCTCACGAAAAATCCTATTAATGCAGGGCCCAACAATAACTAGGGTCCTCAGGTTTGTTAGGCCCGTTCCTCTAAAATAGAGTTCCCTTGCGAGGAGTATAGAAAATTATAAACAAAAAAATAGTTACCAAGTTCCAATGTATAAAATTAATTTCATATTATTACTCATTAAAACATTAATATCACAAAAATAACAAGAACTATTGACAATTATAACAAAAAATAATATAATAATATAATACAAATAAACAAATTTAATATACTAAAATAAGAATAAAACAATTTTTGAAGAAAAATGGAACCACTTCTAAGTGGTGTTCCTTGGGTAACGCCAAATGTATAAAAATGTAAATACCTTAGATAGTATAATATAATTATCATAAATTCAGCAGCATATTTTTATATTTAGATTTGTGGTAATATCAATTTGATAAGATAATAGTAATATCGCACAACGCACCCACCCGGTGCGTCTACGCACGGGAGAGGGACGTTAGTTACCTGGTCGACCACGACGTGAAATTTTTTATATTAAAGGCTAGTATAATTTTAATAAGTCTATGTTATTATTTTTTTTTTATTACAAGTACCTATTCAAACCCAGTTCATCTAAACTTGATCTACAGATTATTTATTTATTTATTCATTTATGAGAATTAACAATTTACTAATTTCGATTTTATTTTATTACTTTATTATTTCAATTTAATATCAATAACTCAAAAATTAACTTTGTAGTTAGGATGTAGTAGTAAATTGTTTGGACGTATATTCGGCGCACGTTAAGATCATGACCAGGTGGCGGACCGTTTAGCGTCCGTTACGCGTAGTCGATTTTTCATTGGTTACCCAAACATTTGTTCACAGTTATACAAAATTCCTGTTCCAAAATTTGTTATAGCGTGGTGGAGTAAGTTTTATTGTTTCGAATCAATTGTACGACTGTAATTGCGTGAAGAGTTACGTATACAAATGTGGAAACGGCTTACTATGGCGAGTGGCTGGTGGAGAAAATTGTTTTGAATGCGCGACTGGTCATGATCTTAACCTGCGCTGAGTATAGAGTGGGCATTGAACAGAAACATTCACCTTCGATAGTTTTGAAGCCCAACGCATGAACTTTGCAATAATAATAATAATAATACAAAGAATACGGCGTGCATATCATCAGTGCCGGATCTAAGAAATCTGACGCCGGCGCTAATAAAAACGCAGCGCCCTCACGTAGGTGAAATGCACGGGATACGTCAATGAATTTTTTTATTTTTCGTCAACTCAAGAGCGCCCTTATACCAACAGCGCCCGGTGCAAGCATACCCACTTGCCCCCCTCTAGATCCAGCATTGAATATCATGTATAGTATACTTAAGTGCTTACAGTCTATTTTTTTAAAAGCCGGTCGAGAGATCATCTTTTGAAAGTTTTAATTTATCCCAAAAATAAAATTTATTTATTTTTTAAGATTAAATCTTGGTTATGCTTATGGGTCTGAATAGGAATGTCAATGATATATTGCCAAGTTGAAACTAGGGATATATTTTTCCGATATATTTATACATTTTTATTGATTAAGTTATTTGATAGATATTCACTGTCTATACAATCGTCCGATATGACGATACCATGGTTTTATACCGGGCCATAGTCATGCGCACAGGAGTAGTAAGGTGTGCTCTTGCAGCTCCTGGACGGTTTGAATATATTTATAAGGGTGGAAATGGTCCAAAGCTGGACAGTCACACCGGTAATGCTCAATATAAGATAAGTTGGTTATCCAAAAAGTGTATTGCTACCAAGCTAATTTTTTCTGTATTCAAACTTTAAATAGGCTTTGAAGCTTAAATTTGAGCATAAAAATATTAACTTAATACTCATGTATGGGCCGATAAAAATATTCGTTGCCCCAGACTTGAAACTCTGCGCACGCCTATGTACCAGGCATGTCAAATTCAAAGTATCAAGTGGGTCAAATATATTAAATAGTTTACTACGTGGGCTGCACATAAAAATTTAACGAAAATAGGTATATTTTTTTTACATTTTTTCAATTTTCTTTACGGACACAACAGGTATAAATACATATAAAAATTTTTAAAAAAATGAACATTCAAAAAAGTCATATTGATAATATATGAGATATTTATTATTTAAATTACAAAAATAAAACATATTAATAATTCTTTTTGGACGATATTTGGCATATCTTTTCCTCCACCAACTTCTCAATTTTGGGAGAGATATTATCGGGTGAAGCCACTTTTAAAACCGAATTTAGATGTATGTCAGTTAATCTGAATCTAACAGGATATTTATTGATATTCATCAATGAGAATAGTTGCTCACATAGATAAGTACTTCTAAACAGAACTTAAACAAACTTTTACTCTAAACAGACTTAATTTTATACGTAAATCTGCGAGTTTCTACGTATCTTACTGGCAAAAAATTGTAAAAATCCGGTACACTAACCTCTTTGAATCTATGTTTTAAATTTGAATCATTTTGAATCTCGATCAGTTCTATTTGTATATGTGCTGAAACTTTTACTATGTCTATTGAAAAAGGAGCCGTGAACAATTCAAAATCGTTTTCTAAATATTTGAAATCTTGAAATCTATTTTCGAATTCAGTCTTCAAACATATAATTCGTTCTGAATATTTTTAGTAGAAAATTCGTTCAATATAACTTGTTTTATACGTCATGCATGTTGGGAAATTATTTAAATTTTCATTCTGTAATTGTGTTTTCCATAAATATAATTTACATTTGAAAGTCTTAATATGGTCATTAATAGCTGTTATAATTTGATCTTTCCCTTGTAATTTTAAATTTAAATTTGACAAGTGCTTCGTTATATCGACCATAAAGGATAGGTCTTGTAACCACATTAGATCCGAAAAAGTGCTGATATCTTGTTTTTTAGACTCTAAAAGGACTCGGACTATTTGTACATATTAAACCATCAATAACACTTATTGTTCGATTAGATTAAAATTTATCAGAAGATAAAACATAATAATGTATGCCAAAATATATACCATTCTCAATGAATCGAAGTTAGTCGAAATAAAGGATTAATATTTTATAATTTTTACTTATTATTCATTTTTTATTTTTTTCATTAATATTACTAGCCGAGGGCCACAAAAAAATAAGTCGTGGGCCGCGTGCTTGACATGCCTATCTTATACACTTAAACAATGTTATTATTTATTTATTTTTTATTTTTCATTTGCATCAATAATAATTATAAGTTATAACGAAATTATAAATATTGTTTGAGCACCCTGAAATTAAGTTGCCTAACATTTATTCTCTGTAAGTGAGGGATATAAGTGAAGAATCAACTCTACGTACGTGAATACTCGATATAAATTTTTAAGGGAACAATAATATCAGTGTATTCCCACATGTTTTATGCGATATTTTAATTTTCAAGCGAGTAATGATTATGTAAGGTATTAAAATAAAAAAAAAAAAAAACAACTCATAATTCGTTTAAAAGCTATTGTATCAAAATAATCAGATAATAATGTTCTAGCTTAAACTTTGTTAATAAATCAGTTTACTGTAGTATTAAAGATTAGCACAAAAAAATCGGTTCAACCGAAAGCAGTTTTGCTATGTTTTGCTACGTCTGCAACACTTGCGGATAGCGTTTTAATGTCTCATACTAATAAATCAACAGTATTCCGTGCTACGGCGCAACAGGCCGAGGGTCCTCTTGACTACTGACGTATATTATTAGTGTACAATTATTGTTTACTCGGGTATAAACACCAGCCGCCGGAGCCTAAGATATTAAAATATTTAAAAGTATTTCGTGCTCCGGGCGGTAAACACTTAACGTTTTTTGCACTGCACCTCAAGTGCTCCTCGTAGTCAACACGAGGTTTTAGGCCGAGCCCGAGGCGGCCGCGGACACCGATCGAACCGGCGGCCGCGGCGGCGCTCCCGTCCTCGGTCGTTCGCACGTGTGACGCGCCGGTCGTTCAACAAGTAGAAACTTCCGCGCGATCCCTCGGCCGACGCGAGTAACAACACGGCGAGTGACGCGGGGCGGTCGTCGTAGCGTACTATTCGTGTGTAGTGCGACCACGGTAGCGGTTAGTGGAGCAGTACGCCATGCACACGCCATCACGGTCGTCGTCGCCGCCGCCGCTGCCTCCGCCGCGATCGTCTGCCGCGGAATCGCAACTGCCAAACGTCGCTCTTGACCCTTTGTCGCGATAAAAACGGAAAATGTACGCCTCGTCGCCGTGCTAACCGCACCGTCGCGTCGTCTCGTCACCGTAGCACATGATTTCATCGTCGCCGAGAAAATAATCCGTTCGTTTTTAACCGTGCACGATCCGTCGTCGGTCATCGCGCGCGGCCGAAACAACAACAATAATAAAACCTAAACGGTTAACAGTCAGTAGAGTCGTTTACAGGTTGTTTTTTGATCGATCGCGAACGTGTGCCCCGTTGTTTCGAAGCGCGTAGTGTCGTAGTGTCTCCATCACCGTCGTCGTCGTGTTCCGATGGCGGCTACCGAATGGATCACTGCTATCGATAAGAGGTAAATAGGCATCACTGATTTTACTCAGTTTTTTTTCTCGCGTACCGGGCGATATTCCTCAACGTTAGAGGGGGTCCGGTTTAAGAGTTTCAGGGACCCAGGGTAATAAAAGTTAGGTAAATAAAAAGTTGTGGGTCCCCACCAATGAAAAAATTTTTTTTTTAAATTTTCAAAATATATATAGCAAAACAAATTTAATTTTTTTTTAATATAGTATAATAATAACATTAAATAATTATTATTTTTTTATTATAATACATGTATTTACGAATAAAATTAAGCATTTTATGTAAGTATTTTTTGCTTTTTTTGTAGTAAATACTTCTAAGGTTTTATTTTAAATACAACGATAACAAAATATATTCCTATTCCCCATATACATGAACCCGGCCATGATCCAACGATTATCATGTCCATGGTGGTAAACATGGTAGGCTGGTGACGGGTTCCAACGCTTGTTCTTTAACAAGAAAAAAAATCAAAATATTCTTGTAGGTACTGTAAAAAGTGTAAGTTACCACTCAATGTTATTTTAAGTCGAGAAGACTATGAGTCTTTTATAAGTGTGGGCCTCGGGGACGTTGCTCCTCCCCTCATAATCCGGGTTTGACGTTAGTGGTTAAAGTTAAACATGTTAAACATAGTCTATCGTGCTGGTGTACATTGTTTACGAAAAAGGATTTCACTTGTTTCTTAAAGTTTAAAAGTCAATGCAATAGTTAATTTATGTACCTTATAATGAATTATTGTAGTAGGTAGTTAAAAAAGATATTTTAAGATCATATTTTAAGATCATTATAAAACGATCAGAGAAATTTAAAGAAATAATAAAAATATATTTTCTTCTTAATAACATACCTACAAAACAAAGTCTGTACAAAAAAGCGTTTTCCGGTCCAATTTAAGTTTTAGCTAAGGATTCCATGGCTGTATACTAATTGGGAACCACTACTATGCATCAACTTAACCCCACGAGCCCGCTGTTCCCTTGTAACACGACGAACACACACATCGACACACAATGTTTTTTTTTACAGAAAAATTTATACTATTATTCTTGTATTTGATATTATAATTTCGTACAATAATTGCGAAGCTGAATACGCAACTGAATTCACTTATATGTGAGTAAGGATGTAACGTTAATTTACCGCAAAAACAGTACAGTGGAATAAAAAAACGTGCTGAATGAATTATTTTTGGTCGTAAAAGTCAACGCATTTTCTCAGTAAAATCGTGTTATTCTAATTAAAATTGATTATAATTACCCACATTATATTTCAACAGTCAGTTAGCCATCAGAAGAAGTTGAGAACTTTTTGTTTATTGATTTTGGTTTATGTTATGTCCGATACGTCGTTATTTCTTCTTACTTTTCACCGTTAACACTTTTTTATATAGTTTTTTTATTGTCATCTATTATATAATTTAAGTCTTCCCAAGATTCGCGTTCTGTTCGATTCCTTGTCTATGTTTAATTATTTTTCATTTACTTCCATTCTCAAAACTACAAAAAAAATTATTTTTTCCTCACTATCTGTTCGTTTATTCAGGTAAAACATACATTTTTCGAATTTCTCTGTGTACTATGATCTAAAATGTATTCTTTGATTTGTTAGGGTTATTTATTGTCAAATAATATGTTTAATCTTATTGTTTTTTCTAAGAGATTTATGTTTTCATTTAAGATTAAAAAAAAAAACTAAGAAAACATGAGAATTTCAATTTTAAATAAATGGCTCAAGAAAAATCTTTTGAAAATTATAGCATCAATTAAAAAAGTATTATGTAAACATTTTTTTGATGATGAAAAAAAAATCAATTATATCGAAAACTTGAATACCGTACCTACATTTTTTCGTAATTATTAAGAAAATTGTTAGGAAATAGATAATATTTTCTATGAGAAATATTGTATGATTATATCTAATGTTCTTCGTTGAAATCGTGTTCACAGACCAAAAACAAAAAACAGTGTGATTATTTCTGGTGAGGGTTCGAATCTCGGATAATTTACTGTAGATATTTTTCGAATCATTTATATGATATTTATTGTTTATTAATAATGGCTGGGATTTTAATGCTCTAAAATGATCAAAAGAATAATGCATTAAAAATTGATTTATTATAGTTTAAAAACGATATTATAAAAATTATATGAGCAAACATATTTAATTATATTTATTTAATATAATAATAATAAGTAAGGTACTTATTTGTGACATTTGCTATATTTACATTTTATTTAAATTTCATTTATTTCATAACTTATTGTTATGATCATCTTTGGAATCATATAAATAGAAAAAATTATCTGGAATATTTTAATTTTGTTTTATTTTTGATAAAATATGTTCATTGGCCAATTTGCTCATATTTGTTAATTTATCAGTTTAATAGATTACATAATAAACGTGCAAGTCTTGAGAAAACAGACGCCAAAATGCTATATCAAATACTCTAATATTTAAAAATGTATAGATAAATTCTAAAAATTTCCCTAAAAAAAGCAAAATATGCCAAAAAATTCACGTATAAAAATATTATTTCGGACAATGGAAGATCATTGGTGTTAAACAGTATATTATTACAATTCCCAACATTTCTAAATGTAAAATAGCTTATTGTAGAATTGTACATTATTTTAAATTTAAATTTTAGTATGTCCAGAACGAATAATACAACAACAATCATTCATATGCAGTTCCTCAATAAATACCAGCTACTAGTAACATTTTCAATTTTCAGCTTTTTTTTTTTTTTAATAAAATCAAAATTATAAATTACTTGATAATTTATTAGTTTAATCAAATAATAAATAAAATAAAATATATATTTACCTTTTTTTAATGACATTTTCATGGTAAAATGTATTTTTAAAGGTGGTTTTAACTGTTTTTTAGAGTATTTTTGTATTATTTTGAGTGCATTTGTATACGAGCCCTAACAATTACTATACTATTATGAATTTTCAAACGCACATATGTATTATTTTACGTGTGTATATTATATTATGTATATATTATTACCTAACTTCTAGGTTATATGTTTTGTAGTCTCGGCTCGAATCACCTAACATCAAAAGATTCGTTGGTGGGCACCGCCGAATGAAAACTTGTCACCGGCTGGTATAATCATTTTTGGGGTAGAGTTTAAGTCCTAAGGTATCTAAGGATTTTTGAAACGGTAAACTGTGATCAGATCAATATAGTAGCACTATTGTTTTACTTTTTTAACGACAAACATACTTTTAAATAGATATCAGTTTCAATGTATTTATGTTTCTTTATTTATTTATGTAGATGATACTTACATTTTTATGGAAAATTCATTAATTTAATGTAATCATTGTATACTCCATGTATGTATGTATGTGTTCAACATGTCAGTTTATGATAAATAAGGGGAAATAAATAATTAATTAGATACGATACACACATCGATGGCAACTAAATGTGTGGGGTTAGAATGATACATTCTATATGAATGTGTTATCTGCAATAATGATAGTTTACATATTGTATAATACTGTTCATACTGCTGATAAAATATGAAGTTTTATGTTACGTTATATATTGATTATTTAACTTAACACGTTGAGTGACGGGTAGTCGACAAATGTTATGCACATCTTTATGGTCCTATAATTCACTTGATTTTCATGGCAATTCTTCCGTTTTTATCTTTCGTTATTCAGTGAAATTTCTTCAGTTAAACGGTGTATTTGGATTTCGTTTTCGTTTATTTTTAGCAATATTATAGTTACTCTTTTCTTGGAAATCGTCGATGAAGGTGACCTGCCGCGATGATGTATATTTGTAGCTTATTCCTTGGTTTATGTGTTAATGGCTCGTACACAAACACAGTTATACTAGCTATTACTTATTACACATAATTTTATATATAGTTTTTGTACAGTGAAATAGTTAAAATTAATTGTATTAAGAAATAAAACTCGGTTGAATTTTAAGTATACTTTATTTCATAATATTCAATACATAAGTTCAACAAAGTGATTTATAAACGTATTATATTTATCATTCATCAAATAATAAATAATATTGAGTATAGGTTGTAAAAATTACGGTCTTGCGCTGGTGGCTGACGTCGACCCGTAGTCAACCGACGTTGAACGCGGTCTAGTTTAGGTGCGGCTACACGGGCTACGTACGTCTATTACATCGAGACACTCAAAGCGTTAAATATTTATACGAGCTGTGAATTGTAATACTTAATATTAAAAATTCTATAATAATAATAAATTGATAAACTAATGGTTTTGAAAAATAATGGTTTAAATATATTCTGTAAAATGTTTAAAATTATTCATAATATTTCTGCAATATTTTATATCTTATATCTTCTTAACATAATTGAAATGGTTATACACATAGCGATACCTATTAAATATAGGTTCTTGATAAACGTTGAAAGGTATTTTAAAACATTTATACTGTCTTGCGTTTATGTCTACTAGATTTTATTATATAAATCGGTTTTTCTTAAGAAGGTTATAAGGTTATTAGGTTGTCATATTAGTATTCGTTTCTGAGTCTAATCCTAATGCTTCATACACGTTAGGGGGAATATGATGTTATTTTCAGTTCGTCTGTATATTGGAAGCACTTTGTTAGTATATACTTGACGGTTAATATAACCCCACAGGTTGAACACTAAGGCGAATCTTATACTGAACATTGTATTTCTAATAAATATGTCATTATTATATTGTAAATTCTCTGAGTTAATAAAACTCAATTCAAATAATTCGAGAAGAATATAAAAAAAAAAAAAATTCATATTGTAATAAATTTAACAAGGACAAGATTTTTAACCGAAATACTCACTAAATCATTTACAAATCACTAACATCAAATTCAATACATTATATAAATTAATTATTTGTCTATAAAATTTTTTTCTTTTTAGTGGCGAAGTTTTTATTATCTTTATTTGGTTTATAAAACATTACAATATAAATCGAAGAATTACAGAAATTA